TTGGGACGCCAGCTCTGAGCAGCAGGGCCACTGTTCAGATCTCATGTTAGGGCCAATGGTGCTGCGCCCTCTACAGCTAATATGGTGAACAACGTTCGACCTGGAGCTGGGCTGCCGTGAGTCGCCAGCGACGGCGTAGGCTGCAGTGGAGCTGCAGTGGGCTCCCGTAAGCTACCATGAGCAGCCGGCAGCTGGCGTGAGCTGCCAAGAGCCACTGTGAGCGGCCGTCCAGCGACCGGAACCCATCTGCCTCACCCGGGAAGAGAGCAATGATAATATCAACATGGGCCAGTGAAGCAATGTTCTCCACAACTAGACTGAAGAACAAAAGGTCAGCAACTTGTCTGTTCCCCTTCCCCGAATCCCCAACGCTGTTCCCCTCCCCCAACTCCCCAATAAAATCTTTAAAGAAAAAAAAGAAGATGGTAGTTGGTCCAATAAGGACCCTTGATCAGTGTTTTCAGATTCAGTTCCTGTACCATCAGGGACAGCACAAATAAAAGATGCTGAAAGGCCATGTAATTCACCTGATTGGTGATTCTGACAGTTACCATCAAACTCTAACATTATTTCTCCTTTTCGAGAAAAGCATATTCCAGCATGATACTTCTCTAAGATGTCTCTGCCTAATAAATGGAAAAGGGCAGAAGAACTAAGGAGAAAACAATGTTCATCTTTTAAGGAACCTAGACAAAAGGGAATAGGTTCAGACATGTGAACCTGTTGAGGTTTATTTGAAACCCCCACTATGTGGGTGGAGTTGAGCACCAAGAGTGTAACATTGGTGTCAATAAGAAGAGAAATAGCTTCCTCCCCAATCTGAAGAAAAGTGTCTCCAAGATGATTAAGGGAAAGACTGGGAAAAGCCCCTGTAGTTCCTCAGAGCCCCGTCACTGGGAATTAGGAAGGCCTGAAAGAGGTTGGTTAGAAGGCAGAGATCGTCTTGTATGCTTAAACTTATGGCAATCCCTTTCCCAGTGTCCTTGATCCTTGCACTAGTGGCAAAAAGTTGGAGTTCTCTGGTTTCCCACAGGACCTCTCATTTGCCTCTGCTGAAAATCAAATGTCTTGGCGTCTTACTTCTAGGTGGCCTACCTAGGGTATTAGCAAGCTCATCTGCCAAATTTACCAAGTCTAGGGTAGGCATTTTCCCCCCTCCTATTCTGGATCTCTCAACCAGGAGGGAAAGGTCTTCAAAGATTCAGCCCATTGACAAAGAATTAAAAGCTACCCGCGTGTGGCCAACATCTGGAGGAAGACCAGAATTTTCCTTTAAAAAGACCTGGAATCTTTCATAACAGTCATGAACAAATTCATCAGGCTTTTGTGAGCAATCCTGAATTTTGCTCCAATCGACAGCCTTTGGAAAAGCCTCAGGAATTGCTCAATGTAGTTTCTGAGCAGATTCCCTGGTTTCCTCCCTATAATTTGGGGTTTGCTTTTCTGAATCTCTTTCAGGATGCTCCCATCCAGCAATCCACATTCAATGTATAGCTTGGCCTTCACCAACCGACATATTAATTAGCTGATACAAATCAGAAAACCCAGGCTGATAAGCTTGAATAGTAATTTCAAATTCCTCACAAACTCATTAGAATCCTTAGTTACCTTAGGAAATTCATTTACAATAGCTCATAACTCTGCTTTGGTCCTGGGAACATAGAAGATGTGGGGTTTACTAGGATCCTCAGAGGGTTTAATTTTAAATAGAAAATTGCTGATAGATTCTGAGAAAGGAGAGAAGATTCAGGAGAAAGTGCCACTGGGAGTTAAGTTGAAAACGGAGGAGGCGGCAATGAAGAGCAAGATGGCGTCAGAGGTGGAGTTTGAGACAAAGGAGCAGTGGGGGAAGGGCATAGCAGTGTAATGAAGGGAGGACAGAGGTTTCAGGCGCCATGGTTTTTTTTGTTTTTTTTTTTTAATAGCCTCTGTTAATTTTGAGATTTTATCTTGTAAAAAGGTAACTCTAGATCCATAGTCCTGTTTGGAGGCCTCCATATACCACTCCAAATAGGCATTCCATTCTTCTTTCTCAGTTACAGCGCTGTTACTATCCAATTTACTTTTCAGAAAATCAAGTTGGGGAGTCTCAAACGTTCCCCAAAGCGGCCACTGATATTTACAATTATCCATAGTCAGATTTGTCCATTTAGTTAAATACGTGCACGAAAATTCCCTGTAGGTTTTAAACATATACTCAGCCGGTGTCCAGGTAGGAGGGCAGTTTCAGAAGGCTTAGACATCAGAAACCCCATTTTTAACACTGGGCCCCAAAACAATTCACAACTCAAACAACCTGCAGGTCTTTAGCTCGCCTCATTCCCACTCTGGAATAGTCTGATCACTACGAATCAGACCAAAGGCTAGAGCCAGTTTCAGTCAGATAAGCAAATTTCAGGAAGTCAGATTACAGACTGAGCTGGCACTGGGCCCAAACCAGTTCACAATTCAATCAACTTGTAGGTCTTCAGCTCGCCTCACTCTGGAATAGTCTGATCACTAAGAATCAGGCAGAAGGCTGAAAGCCAGTTCCAGGGAAATAGCCATCTCCCAGGGAGTTAAACTATAGGCTGAGCTTCTCACTTTCTCAATGAGATGACACAGTCTAACACCGGCCAAGGCTGACCAATTTCAGTAGAAATAACCTTTATCCTCAAAAGAACTTTAGGCGAAGGTCAGTCTTGGTCTCAAAGTACAGCTTATTTTTCCGAAGAATTCAAGCAAATGTGCCACAACAAGTTCAGACAGCATAGACAAATAGGCCTTTAACACACACACACACACACACACACACACACACACACACACACACAAGNGCCACAACAAGTTCAGACAGCATAGACAAATAGGCCTTTAACACACACACACACACACACACACACACACACACACACACACACACACACACACAGCAACAAGCAAAATATTTAAATAATTCCCGAATAAAGCCTGGAGAGCGCCAGACGCAAAAACCCACTGGCTCAGGTCCAGGAAAGGAACTTATCCCTCAGCCCCTAAGCCAAAGAGCAAACCATGGAGCCAAAAATGGCTCAGTAGGTGCCTATTTGGTTTGCTCCGTTTTTCTCTGGTCCCCATACAGGCCACCATAAATGTCAACTGGACAAATATTTCTCCAGGTAGTCCACCAAAAGAGCGGCTTATTCTGGAAAAGAAAAAGAAACAAAGCCACCAAGGAGTGTGCGAACTCACACTTGCTGGCCGGTGTCCCCATCGGTCACCCATGTGGAAAAAAAGCCCCAAGACCAAAATGGCTTCCCCCTTTATTCACATCCCTCCCCCAAGAAGTTACCACAAAGTTTAACAAGAAGTCAAAACAAGAGAGTTAACAAGGGGCCCAGCTCCACCCATAGTCCTCCCAGCTCTATGATAAGCATCTTAAGATGCCAGTTCACTTTTATCAGACCCAACCCCTGTGTGGGTCTATTGACTGAGCCCCAGACTGTGGTTTCAGTTTCTGGCGACTCAGATGGGACAGCCTCGGGGCTCCTCCAGTAAGTCTTTTGGCTTGCGGAGGGTCTTGGGGGCTGCCTGGGACTGGGCAGCTTCCTTGGCACAAGACCGAGTTTTGGAAGCAACTGCCGAGCTATTTTGCTCGCCAAGGTGGAATTTGTGCCAAGGCCTGCCCGTCATGGACCCCTTTTCTGCTCAGTTGGAATAGAATAAGCATTTGCTCTGTTTCCTGCCTCTAATTACTGGTTTGGAAAGTGGGGTGACCCTGGTGTGCGCAGCGAGAGGGTTTTGCACTCACCAACTGGGACTGCTCTTTGAGGGCCATTTGGAGGTCATACTGACCCATTGGTGCCAATAGATGAGATTGCAATGTCCAGTGAGGCATAATACCCCTACAAGCAAGGGGTTCTGGTTGCAAGCTTGCTTTAGTCTTGGAAGCTCACTTGTGGTTGGCCTTGTGAAAGCCATCACGTTTGGTTTTGGCCTTTGGGTATTAGGTGGTCTTACGGCTACATTTGGCTTTTGGTATTTGCCCACTGGCTGATTGATGGTCTATGGACCATGTATATGGAATAAGATGAAGTCACATCCCAATTTGTCCTAAACCTGGCCAGGTTCAGTTTTGGTTCTGGTATTTGGATCTGAAGTTAGGTTTTCTGGTTTTGTCTGTCCAATTCAGGGAATATTTGGATCTCTGTGTGTGTGTGTGTGTGTGTGTGTGTGTGTGTGTGTGTGAGTGTATATCAAGTGCAGCTGTATTTGTTCAAGCTCAAAAATGTGATCTAAGGTTTCAATCCCAGCTGAGAGCCCATTGGGCAAAATATTAGGCCATTGGCAAAACTACGGCTATGAGCCATTGACCAAAAAGAAATTAATGTTCTATTACAGTACTGCTTGGCCAATGTATATATTAGATTCTGGAGGTCGCTCAATAATTCATTGAATTATACTATTTTGCAACTGGAATTGTTCTGCTAGAGGTCTGGGAAATAAGGTGAAATTTCTTATGTATAAGCCTTCATGGTAAACTCTAAAAAGAAGGGAACTAACCTGATAGTTCAGAGATAAGGGGACTCCACCCATCTCCTAATCCACTAATAACCAGGAGTGCCTGAGGCTGAGGTAACTGAAGGAAAAAGAAGAGAAACTTTTAGGTTTTTGTTTTGTTTTGTTTTTTAAGGAGGGCACAGCTCACAGTGGCCCATGTGGGGATTGAACCAGCAACCTTGGTGTTATCAGCACCATGCTCTAACCAACTGAGCTAACCAGCCACCCCAAGAGAAACTTTTAATGCTGAACAACAGCTCAACCTGGAGCTGAGCTGCTGTGAGTCGCTGGCGATGGCGTAGGCTGCAGCCCCTGTGGCACTGGGTTGCCATGGGCTACTGTGTGTAGCCAGCAGCCAGCGTAAGCGGCCAGCAGCCACAGTGAGCGGCCGTCCAGAAGCCAGCGACTGATCTGCCTCGCCCAGGAAGAGCGCAATGATGGTGCCAACTTGGGCCAGTGAAGCAACGTCCTCCACAACTAGNAATATCCCGGAGCTGGTCAAGTATGTCAGGCCCTCCAGGAGGGGTTTCAGGGCTCCCCTATTCCAGGAGAAGGAGTGGGGAGCTGCTTGGCCTGGCCAGATCACTCACATGACTTCCCCACAGCATGGGGCAGTGGAAGATCCTAGCCCACTATGAAGATTCGCCACAGCAGGTCTTCTCAGCTGAGTTTGAGGTGAAGGAATATGGTAAGAGAGGGCGGGAGCCAGGGTGAGGGGTCCCGTAATGCTGGGCCCAGTGCTGGCCCCCCACCAGTGCCGGCTCTCCCCACAGTGCTGCCCAGTTTTGAGGTCCAAGTGGAGCCTGAAGAGAAATTCTACTACATCGATGACCCAGAGGGCCTGGGTGTCACCATCACAGCCAGGTGAGGGGGTCAGTTGAGGGGCTGGGTGAAGGGCCAGATGAGGGACTAGGTGAGAGGCAAGGTGAAGGACCGGGGAGGGGCCTGGTGAGGGACCAGGTACGGGTCAGGTAAAGACCAGGTGAGCTGCCAAGTGAAGGGGCCACTTAAGGCATCAGGTGATGAGCAGGTGAGGGGCTGCGTGGGGACCCAAGGAAGGGGTCGGTGGGGACCAGGTGAGGGTCTGGATGAGGGCCAGGTGAAGGACCAGATGAGGGCCAGGTGAGAACTCAGTGAGGGTGAGATGAGGGGCTGGGGTTCTGGCTTTTCACCATGATCAGTGGAAGTTTGGCAGGGAGACTCAGAGTTTCAGGAGAGGAGAATCTGAGACTCTCCTCACCACGCAGGTTCTTGTATGGGAAGCATGTGGATGGAACAGCCTTTGTCATCTTTGGGGTCCAGGATGGTGACCAGAGGATTTCGCTGGCCCAGTCCCTCACCCGTGTTGTGGTACATGCTAGAGGGCCCCCTGAGCCTTCTGCTCTCTGAACCCCTCTGTCTTTCTCTCTGAGTCTCCTCCCCACCTGAGCCCCTCCACCTCTCTGAGACCTTATTTCCTCCCCTAGCTCGAGGATGGCACTGGAGAGGCCAAGCTGAAGCGAGAGGTGCTGCTCGGGGGGGTGCAGCCCTCCCGAGAGGATGCCCTGGTGGGAAAGTCATTGTACGTGTCCGTCACTGTCATCCTGCACTCAGGTGAGGCCTAGACTGAGCGTGGAGTTCCAGTACAACTACACGCTCCAGTCTGAGAAGGGAGGCCCAACTGAGGGGGGACACCCAGTCTGAGGTGGGAGGTCCAGAATAAAATGAGGTTCAGTCAGACAAGGAAGGTCCAGTCTGGGGTGAGAGGCCCAGGATGAGGGAGGGTGCCCAGAATGAGGGTGGGGTCCAGTCTGAGAAGGGAGGCGCAATCTGAGGGAGGAGGCCTTGCATAAAGGTGCAAGACCCTATCTGAGGGGAGGCCCAGGATGAGGGTGGGGTCCAGTCTGATGGGGGAGGCCCAGACTAAAGAGGAGACCCAGTCTGAGGAGGGAGGCCCAGTATGAGGGCCAAGTCCAATCTGAGGGGAGAGGCCAGGTCCTGAGGGATGGCCCAGGAGCACACCCTCACAGCTGGCCCCCTCAGGCAGCGACATGGTGGAGGCAGAGCGCAGTGGGATCCCCATCGTGACCTCCCCCTACCAGATTCACTTCACCAAGACACCCAAGTTCTTCAAACCCGCCATGCCCTTCGACCTCATGGTGAGACACAGGGCCGGCCTGCTCTCTGACCTTGCCCCTGAGCTTGGGCCGTCCCTCTGGGTCTGCCGAACTTCCCATCCCCCACCTCGCCACTGAGCGTGGGCCATCACTCTGGGTCTGCTGAACCCCTACCCCACAACCACAACCTGCTCCTGCACCCACAGGTNTGTGTTCATGTTGGAGGAGGACATATCCTCAGGTTACTTACCTCCGGACGTGCTGGCCACAGGGATTGAAAAATGTAGGAAACAGTATTGAGAAATCTGGGGCAGCCCCAGGGAGGGGAGAGGCTACAGAGAGTGGAGGGCAGGGCTGAGGGGAGGGAAGGCAGGAGCCAGATAAAAGGCGGCCTCCAACAGCCACTGCTCAATCCACCCCGTCCTCTCCCTCTGTCCCTCATTCCCTCAGTCCCTCTGTCCCTCTGTCCCTCTACTGTCCCTGCACCATGGGGCCTGCCTCAGGTCCCAGCCTGCTCCTACTGCTGCTGACAAGCCTCCGCATGGTTCTGGGGGACCCCATGTGAGTAGTCATGACCCCACCCCAAACAAGGTGACTTGCGAAGTGGGAGTGGGCATTTGTGGGTTCAGGTCCCTGTAGAATTCAGGGTGCATGTGGGTGTCTGTGGAAGAGGGGTTAGCGGGTTGGAATATTAATAAATGTGGGCTGCCTGTGACTTTTGAGAGTTTATAGGTTGGGCATCTGTGGAATTCAGGCATTGTGTAATGGGGGGGCTGAATATTTATAAAACTGGGGCTCCTGGAGGTTTAGGGTACATGTGATGTTCAGTGATTATATGGATGAGGTGGTTTGTACTACACAGAATTTGTGAGTTCGCAGTTTCAGGATTTATGGGTTTCAGCATTTGCAGAGATGAGGTGTGGATAAATGTTGGCTGGGGGCAGGGGGAGGGCGTGGATTTGGTTGTATTTATAGGCCTGGGTTGCTAGAGATTTAGGTAGAGGTTTGGGGTTCAAGGATTTTGGGGTTAAAGGTTTGGTGCATGTGAGTTCAGGTGTGTATACTTTGGGTGTCTGAAGGTTTGGGTGTTTAGAGACTTGGGTGTTTAAAGCTTACAGATTAGGGCTTCAGAAGTATGTATGTGGGATCTCTGTTTGTGGGTTTGGAAGTCTAGAGAATTAGAAGAGTTGCTGGTTCTGGTTTCGAGGTTCAGGGGTTGAGGGGACCCACAACCTCTGAGCCATCAGCTGGTCACTGGATCCCCACTAGAACCAGGGTCTGGGGCACAGCGCTGACCCCGCTGAGGGCTGGAATGTCAGGTCCCTGGGATGACCCTGTGCCCGCCTCCGGCAGGTTCTCCATGATCACCCCCAATGTCTTGCGACTGGAGAGCGAGGAGATGGTGGTGTTGGAGGCCCACCAAGCACAAGGAAACATTCCCGTCGTGGTCACAGTCCACGACTTCCCAGCCAAGAAACAAGTGCTGGCCAATGAGCAAACTGTGCTGACCAGCGCCGATGGCCACCTGGGTACTGTCACCATCAAGGTGGGTGCACTCTGGACCCCAGCCTTGCAGACGCTCAGCCCCTTTCTGAGTCTCCTCCTCATTTGAACCCCTCCCTTAGTTAGCCCCGCCCACTCTGAGCCCCACCCCTCTCTGAGCCTATCCCCTTCCAATCCTGACCATCTGCGCGCCCCTCCGCTTTTGAAGCCCCTCCCCTTTCGGAGGCCCTCCTCCTCTCTGATCCAAATCTTTCTCTGAGCACCTCCCTTTTCTGAAGACACCTCTCTTCTCAGAGCCTCCACCTTCAGATCACCCCCACCTCTCAGCCCTCACCCCCTTCAGGGCCCCTTCCCTGTCCAAGCCCGGCCATCTCTGAGCCCCTCCCTTCCTGAGCTCCTTCCCTCTAAGCCCTGTCTTCCTTCACAGCCCCTCCCTCCTCTGAGGCCCGCTCCTTTCTGAGAGCCCTTCCCCTACTGCTCCTCCCCTCAGTCCTCTGAGCCCCCTGTGTGATTCCACCTTCCCATGGCCCTCCGTGAGCCCGACCCATTCTCTTGCCCTTGCTCCCTCTCCATGTACCTTTCTTTCCCCAAACCTGGGCAAACTAGGGAAGCCTAGAGTGATGGGTAGACTCTATTGTGAGGAGGGGCAGGTGTGGACCCAGCCGAAGGCCTAGAGGCTGGACCGTGGCCAAGGGGCCGTGGAGCAAACCCCCACTGATACCCTGGCCCATGGCTAGATCCCGGCCAGCAAGGAGTTCAGCTCACAGAATGGGCACAAGTTCGTGACTGTCCACGCGTCCTTCGGTACCACCGTGGTGGAGAAGGTGGTGCTGGTCAGCCTTCAGAGCGGCTACCTCTTCATCCAGACTGACAAGACCATCTACACCCCAGGCTCCACGGGTACGGGGCTGGGGGCTGACAGGAGCGGGCAGGGGCATCAGGAGGCGCAGGGCCTCACCGACCTGTCCCTTTCTCTCCCACCACCTCCCAGTTCTCTATCGGATCTTCACTGTTGACCACAAGCTGCTGCCCGTGGGCCGGACGGTTATCGTCAGCATTGAGGTACCAGCCACACAGAGATAGAGAGACAGAGAAAGATACACCAGAGAAGGCACAGCGGCAGAGACCCCAAAGCAAAGAAATATACAGAGGCACAAACACAGAGAGAGGCCTGGAGATGGGCGGGGACCCAAAGAGACATATAGAGCGACACTTGCGCCCGTGGATTCCAGCACCGATAAACCCCTCGTCACTGTGACTCTGGACAGGTCACTCACCTTCCTAAGCCTCAGTTTTCTCACCTGAAAATTGGGTTGACATAATTCTATGTAGTAGTCTGTTATGCCCGCTGCCGCTAGGGGGCGCCTGAGAGCACCTGAGTCAGGTCCTGCCCCTCCTGAGCCCCACAGCCCTCCAGGGCTCCCACCTCCCTCCAGATGAAAGCTTAAGTCCTCCCCAAGGCCTTCAAGGCCCTGAAAGACCGCTCCCTTCACTCCTCCCTCTCCCCCTCGCTCACTCTTCTCCTGCCACATGGGCCTCTTCTTATTCTTCCAACATGCCAGGCACAGTCCTGCCCAGCCCCAGGGTCTTCGCAGTGGCTGTTCCCTCTGTCCAAAAACTCTCTTCCTCCAAATATTCACACCAGNTGGTTAAGAACTGGCTTGGGACGCCAGAGGGCCCCGGTTCGGATCCCACATATGAGGGCCAGTGACACTGCCCTCCACAGCTAAGATGCTGAACAACGGCTCAACCTGGAGCTGGGCTGCTGTGAGTCCCTGGCGACGGCTAGGCTGCAGCCTCTGCTGCAGTGGGTTGCCATGGGCTACCGTTTGTAGCCAGCAGCCAGTGTGAGCAGCCAGCAGCCGCAGTGAGCGGCCATCCAGAAGCCGGCAACTGATCTGCTTTGCCCGGGAAGAGCATAATGATGATGCCAACTTGGGCCAGTGAAGCAACGTCCTCCACAACTAGACTGAAGAACAAAACGACAGCAAATTGTCAGTTCCCCTTCCCCCAATTCCCCGGCGCTGTTCCCATCCCCCCAATTCCCCAATAAAAATCTTAAATAATAATAATAATAATAATTTTCTATGTTTTATAATGTCTTAATTAGGTCTTTAGTTACTCAGGAAGATTAAATGTAAGAACTAGGTTTTGCTAATCGTTAATAGCAGTTTAGGACTGCTGGAGTTCATGTGCCCTTCTCAGTGTCGGATATAGGCCAATGTAAGGAAGCTTGTTTTCCCCAACCTAGCAGAACATTATAATAGTTCTGGCCCACTGTTATCTCCCTGATAAAGAGTCTTGGATACTAGAGAAGGCCAGGGGATTTGTTTAAATGTGCTTAACAACCAAGACAGAAAAAACAAGGAAAGAAAGGAACAGTGAGACTGTAGATGAGACCAGAGGCAGGCCAGATTTCTGGCTGCATTTAATAGACAGGCCAAGGCCAGGGCCAGCTCAGTGCCACCCCAGCATCCCCCAAAAAAGAAAATGAGCCTGCTTTAGATGTGGAAGCCCAGGCCACTGGAGTAATTAGTGTCCTAATCCTGCAAAGCAGCCATGTCCCCTGTGCAAACTAAAGAACACTGGAGGAGGGATTGTCCCCTTTTCTGAAGGGAACATGGACCAACTCCTTCCCTGCAGATGGCTGTAACTGACAGATGGACCTAAAGTGCCTGGTGGCTCCCAAGAAGAAGGAGGCTATTCTCATCTCAGGGGAGGAACTGCGGGTGAACTTTGAAGTGGCAGGTAAGCCTGATAATTTCCTGATTGATATGGGAGCCATTTATTCTGCCTTGACCATTCACTCTGGACCTGTTTCCTCTGAGACCTGCTCGGTTGTATGGATAAATAAAGCCCCTAAATTTGGGCTCATACTCAAATCTATTCCTTACCTTTGGCCTATACCTTAGAGGAAATGTAAAACTAGCAAATCAGACTTAAAAAGGCTCTGAAAAGGTTTTGTCAGGGGACCTCTAAGCGCTGGCTCTAATTGCTGCCAATTGCTTTGGATTCTGACCTCAATTCTATTATCTCCTATGTTGTTAACTTGGGAGAGGTCCAACAGGCACTTTGGAAATATGGGGAACAAGTACCTCCTCCTGGCTGACCCCTCTACATATTATAGCCCCCCAAAACCAGGGAACCAAGTACTACTAGAAACTTAGAGAGGGAGGTGTCTCTAACAGACCAGTTAGCTCTCAATTGGAAGGGGCTTTTTGCAGTTTTCCCAAGCACTCCAACTGTTGTCGGGCTTCAGAGTCAGTGGCTGGGTCCACTTCCCTTGAATCAAACTTATTTCATTTAAGTCTCCACAGGACTCCCCAAAAGGAAGACTGTCACCCCTGTTCCTATAAGCCAATTGAAGACGTTAAGCTCCTCTTCAAATAGACAAGTATGTGTCATCTGAAATACAGCAGATTTCATCTATAGATGGTCATCCACCAGGGTTCCAACTCGCCCTCCTGAGGATGACAAGCCATGCCAGCAGCCGCTTGACCACAGGACCCGCTTTTTCTCTTGCAGTTCTTCCATAGACCCCTCCCCACTGTAACTGAATAGCAAAGAACTCTGGTGCCCATAGGCAGGGACTATGCCCACTCTCAGCAGGAAGTTGCAAGAGCGGTCATCGCCCCCTTCCTTGCCACCATACTAATTTTAAGGAAATAAAATGAATGAAAGACAGGGGGCAATTGAAATAGGGCCCAGTTGGGACCCCCACAGAAGAGGCCTTGCAATGTCCCTGGGCTCGCCTCTCCCTGCTCTAGAGCGTAACAAGTGACCAGCCCCCTTCCTGCAGTTTGAACTTAGAATATCCCCTGTCCCAGTTTCTTGCTTTAGATAATTACCCTGAAACTTGTGTCTGCTTATCATCACAATACCCCTTGCTTACTGATCACAGTCTCTATGGCTTAGCATTCTTTCCAGGTTACTGTCATTTGGTTTTAATACAATTATGGAGGGGAATTCAGTGCTATCCAGCAAGATTACTAACTCATATAGACTTTGATCCAGGTTATCTCCTTTCCTTACGATAACAGCCCTGTGAAGTGGCTGCTGTGATAACCACATTTTTACCTGGGGAAACTGAGGCTCGGAGTGGATCTCAGGAGCTCGATACCACGAATAAGTGTCAGAGCTCGAAAGGGACACAGGCTCAGGAAAACTGGCTGACCAGAGCGTGGTTTGTAACCAGAGAAGTCTGTCCATCAGGTTGGAGTCTGGTGGCTTTCACGCAATATAGTAATAAGAGGCAGTTCCTTTTAAGAACAAGGAAGTTCTCTGTGCACTGAAAATCAATCTCTATCTCTAAGGTATACTTTTTTATAAAAAAGCAAGGTGTAGCTCAGGGAGACCAGGAAGAACAGTATGTAGAGCATGCTAATATTTGTTTTACAACTTGTGAATGTTTGTAACTGCATAAGATATCTCTGGAAAAAAACATTAGATTTGGGTATATGGTCATGGCTGGGACCTGGGTGGCTAGCAACAGGCGCAGGAGGAAAATTACCTTTTCCCTGTGTATCTACTTGTACCTTTTAGATATTAAGCCGTATGAATATATTACCTATACACATAAAAAAATAAATAAAAATTTAATAATATCCTAGGAGGATGTTGATGTAAGACAGCTACAAAAGCTAGCACTGGAGACTTTTCTCACGATGATTTTTTTTTTTTTTTAGATTTTTATTGGGGAATTGGAGAGGGGAACATTGTGAGTCCAAGTCAAGCTGTTGTCCTTCAACCTTAGTTGTGGAGGGCACAAGCTCAGCTCTAAGTCCAGTCGCCACTGTCAATCTAGTTGCGGAGGGTGTAGTCCACCATCCCATGCGGGTGTTGAACCTGCAATCTTGTTGCACATTGAATCATCTGGCCTCCCATCGGCAGCTCGCGGCTGCTCAGCTTAAGGTGCCATGTTCAATCTTAGTTGCAGGAGGGCACAGCCCACCATCTCATACAGGTGTCGAGCCGGCAATCTTGCTGCTAAGAGCACACGCTCTCACCAGTTCAGCGGCAGCTCAGCTCGGGCACAGCTCACTGGCCCAAGTGGGAATCAAACGGGTGACCCTGTTGCTCAGAGCTCGCGCTCTAAACCAACTGAGCCACTCCGCTGGCCCTCAATGATGACTTTTTAAAACCATNGCAATGATGGTGCCAACTTGGGCCAGTGAAGCAACGTCCTCCACAACTAGACTGAAGAACAAAACGACAGCAACTTGTCTGTTCCCCTTCCCCCCAATTCCCCAATAAAAATCTTAAAAAAAGAGAGAGAAACTTTTAAAACCAAGTGGCTAATTCTCTAAACCAAGCCAGACCCCCCACCCGTTCTTTCAGCCTCTTCGAAATTGTAGGGGTGATTGTAAGAGCTGAGGACCTCTCTGCAATTGTTAATAATTCTTTTTGTATGTATATGATCTCTGATATCTGTGCTTATCTGTGTTTTATATATACTATAGTGTTTTTGCCTCCATATGGTGTTACCGGATTATAGTTGACTGGCTTAAAGAAAAAAAGATAAAGCACTTATATAAATTTAAATAATAAAAGCTAACTCAGGATCACATGATCTAAGAAAATATTTGATACTAAGGCTAGTTTAACTTTTGGTTAAATAAATATGTTTTTTAAGGTTATTAATATCAAGTATGGTATCTTTTGTTTTACCTGGGTTTACAAAAATAAATTCATGTTATCTCTGTCACAAAATTTGTCAAACAAATAGCTTGTTAATAATAACCTTTAAAATCTCATAGAGTTAAAAACTAATAAAATTTTAACTAAAATAAGGTTTTATATAAAACTTTTCAGTAATAATTATATAGTGTAGATGCTTGGATGTGTTTTCTCAGCTTCTGTTGGTAACTTAAGATTTCAGTTTTACTAAGTTATGTTACATGATAAAAACTATTGGGGTGCTGGCCAAGTGGCGTGTTGGTTAGGAGTTGGCTTGGGACGCCACCTCTGAGCAGCAGAGCCCCGGTTCAGATCCCACATATGCGGGCCAGTGATGCTACGCCCTCTACAGCTAAGATGGAGAACAACAGCTCACCTTGGAGCTGGGAAGCTGTGAGTCGCCAGCG